AAAATAGACATTAAAATTCCCAATTTCCAATGTTTAAATTCCCAAAATGGTTATTCAAAATTCCCACAAGGCCAAGAAATTTCTCTGAAATCATTTAAATCCAACATATTCATATAAATCACCACTTCATAGTTCCAACTTGACAGTGGAAGCTGTTAGCTTTCTTTATTCATGATGATTAATCTTATTTGTAGCTGAAAAAATGCATTAAAAAATATTCCCACTTTAAGTCAAAATAACGCATTTTTTCCTAATCAGTCTGGTACCGGCACCATTCCCAAAGTAGAGAAAAAAAACTCTGCTATGTTGAAAATTCTGGTTGCTATGGCAACAAATAGCCTGAATTTCAAGATTTCTGATTTAAATTTTTTCAGCTTTTTCACTATAAGTTCTTTATTTCTTAAGGTGTTAACTTCAAACTTTAAATATAAGTTTCTGGTCATCAACCACATCATATGTGACAAGGTTTACAACTCTAGCACAAAAATTATCAGTATTACCTCCCTTGAACTTAGAATTTTTATGGAAAAAAAATGTTGTCTTTTTTAAATAACTTCTTATTATTTCCTAATGTATCTACTTCAAACTTCATATATATGTTTCTTATTATCACTCAACATTTTTGAGAAGGTTAAATACTCTAGCAAGACTATTTCCAGAATTATGTCCCCCTTGAACTTAGGTTTTTTTCGAGAAATTGGTATTTCATTACACCAACTTCTTCATTCCTTATAGGATTTACTTTAAAATCCCACATCGTAATAATATGACAAGGTTGTATAAACATGATTTCCTTACTAGGCAGGAAAACTTAACACATTACTGTGATATAGACAAACTTAGAACTTTAAAGATTTAAGTTCATTCATGTCATTCATTCACTGGTAAAATTGAATGGCCAATGGCCCATCAGAATGTTGCTGGGGTTCTAAACGGTAGGGGACTTATGGATTGCTTGCAATACAATGATAATTGCTTGTTTTCTTTAATTTCTTTTAAAGATTTGTTAAATCTGTTTATTTGTTTACTTTTAGAAATGTAAGTAAGTAAAGTCTTTTATTGCCATCGGGAAGTGGCTCTCATTTAACAACCAATACACTCTTATTAATATATATCTCCATACATGTCTTTTGGGGAAAATACATAAAATCTATACCAATGTTATAAAAATCACTATTGTTATAATAAATCTTGCTTTAAACATTTTATGACCAATGTATATTTTTTTAACTAAATTTTCTTCCTAATGGTGTATTTTAGAGCTGTGATGAACATTTACAATGCTACAAAACTTTACTAATTTACATCAACTTAGCTACTTTTCAGATGATTTAATGTAAAATCTTCTATATCTTATTAAATTTCATATTATGATTTGTAACAAATTAATTAATATAATGTTAGAATGCAAATTTTGTTAATTTTATCATATATGGTAAACATTAAATTTAAACTGACAAGGAGCTTTGGATTAGTCAAGACTCAAAACTAAGGGGCGATTACACACACCATAACATAATTATATATGGTCACAAATCAGTGCCACCAATCATCCTTGATTGGTTTGTTTTGACAGCTGTGCTATACAGAATAAACAGTATGCCATCCTGTTTACCCCCAAGGTAATTTGCATTAATCAACAGGGTGTTAAGTCTATATATTTTTGTCAACATCATCTAATTCAAATTACATAATCATTTCCAATGTCATGCAGGAATTTATTATGTACTTTGAGTATGTAAAGCAAAATTAATCTAAGTTTGGGAAATTATTCTAGTACTCTAAAGGTACTCTTTTACTAAGAAATATCGAATTTAAAAACATTTTTAACTAGAAACATTTTGTAAGATGATGAATGCCCCTGCATGCAGCCAAAATTTCAAATGTTATAAAAATATTTATGGTAGTTAAAAATTTGTTTGTACAAACCATTTTTTCATTCTAAGTTCAAGTTGTTATATGTTGTTTGATTTAATCAAGTGTATATATAACTGTTAATAATAACACATATAAAATATGAAATATCTACAGAATTTGTTGTTTTTTATGATATAATTGTCTCCAGGATGTTGAACTGAACACTAAACATTAATGGTAATGATAATGTTTTTACTCTATCCTTCGGTCTTATTCATGGAATTATTTTGAATTTCCTGTAAGACCATTTGAAATGGACCGAAATTTAAAGAACCCCCACCCCAAACAAAAACCAAGTATATTCTAAAATGTACAAAATAATCCTGTATCCCTCTGTATGACCCTTGTGGTATTGTGTGTCCCCTGTATGACTGTATGACTCTCTGAGATTGACTAAAATGTACAAAATATTCCTGTATCCCTCTGTATGACCCTTGTGGTATTATGTGTCCCCTGTATGACTGTATGACTCTCTGAGATTGACTAAAATGTACAAAATATTCCTGTATCCCTCTGTATGACCCTTGTGGTATTATGTGTCCCCTGTATGACTGTATGACTCTCTGAGATGGACTAAAATGGTCAAAATATTCCTGTATCCCTCTGTATGACCCTTGTGGTATTATGTGTCCCCTGTATGACTGTATGACTCTCTGAGATTGACTAAAATAAACAAAATATTCCTGTATCCCTCTGTATGACCCTTGTGGTATTGTGTGTCCCCTGTATGACTGTATGACTCTCTGAGATTGACTAAAATAAACAAAATATTCCTGTATCCCTCTGTATGACCCTTGTGGTATTGTGTGTCCCCTGTATGACTGTATGACTCTCTGAGATGGACTACAAGAGCTGTCCGTAAGACAGCGCGCTCGACTTTTTTATTGCTTGCCAATAAAAAAAGTTTTTGCAGTAAAAGGCAATACAAGAATCTCTGTATTTTTAAAGTGAACAATGGCCATGAGCATTAAGATATTTAGTGAAGAATTATTTTACTGAATTGTGTGATACCCTTGAACACTGCAGGTTCAGTGGATAGGAATGAATTTTTTTAGATTTTTTAAGTTTTTTAGTGCTTGCCTATAATACAAAACATTGACAGTTAAGGGCCATAATTCAAATAAAATCTTTGACAGAATTACCTTCTCCTGGACATGTTTGGGAATCATGATTGTAAACAAGTATTCCAACTTTCAAATTAATATCTCAAACAGTTCAGTCAAAAAGTGGACTGGTACTAAAAACTTAACCAAGATTCTAAGTCGATAAAAGGCCTTAATTTTTAAAACAAATCCTTGACAGAGTTACCTTCTCTTGCGTACAGATGGGGGTAATGATGTGAAATAGCATTAAAAGTTTTCAAAGCAATATCTCAAAGGGTTAAGGCAATAGAGAATTTTACCCATATTCAATGTATTTTCTAAGTCAAAAAGGGGCATAATTCTGTCAAAAACCTTGACAGAGTTATGTCCTCTTGTCTGTTGATGAAGGTCGTGATGGTAAACAAGTATGGTCAGTTTCAAAGCAATACCTCCAATGGTTTTGAAATAAAGTGAGGTGGTACAAAAAACTTAACCAAGCTCAATACACTTTCTAAGTCAAAAAAGGGCCATAATTCTGTCAAAAACCTTGACAGAGTTTATGTACTCTTGTCTGTAGATGGAGGTTATGATGGTGAACAAGTATGGTAAGTTTCAAAGCCATACTTGTAATACTTCTGAAATAAAGTGGGGTGGTACGAAAAACTTAACCAAGGTGTGACGCCGACGCCAAAATTAAAACAAGCTTTTAAGAAGTCCTTCAAAATAGAAAAGCAAAAAGCACTTGGAAATACTGATAAGGCAGTAAAAGACCTTAATTCAACACCTGATCATTTAATTTTGTTCTAAATTCTATGGGAAATTTCAAGACTGGGGAATTTTGAGGACCAAACTGGGGAAAAAGAGGCTAGTTTGGTTGGGGAAGCAGCCTATATTCGGCCTCTACAAAGTAGGTTTTTTTTGGCCCTGCCGCCATTTTAACTTGTTAATTTTCAACTTTTCGCTTGTTGATGAGATGCACAACTAGACATGATATTGATCATTCCTGTAAAGTTTTGATGAAATTGCACAAGTAGTTTCTTAGAAGTAGTCCAAACAAGCTTTTGTGTAGCTGGCAGCACAAAGAACTACCTTTTATTATAGAAGGGCTATAACTCAGCCAAAAATCATTCAACCGGAAAACCTATGTAATATGCGCAAGTACTGGAGCTTCCATTCAATCTTGAAAAAAAATTAATTAAAATTGCATTAGTGGTATAAGATAACAATCATTAATAACTCTGACAACAAGAGCTGTTGGAGGACAGCAACTCTGACGACTATTGAAAAAAATGTCAAGGGTGTTTCATTGAGTATATTAATGCTTACCTATAATTATGAAAACATAAAATTGTCCAAAAATGTACAAAGGCTTGTTACTAAGATGTTTTATGGAGTAAATCATTGCTTGATTATTATGAATGCATAAAATTGTCGCAAAAAAAGGCACAAACTTTGACCCCTATGTGTGACCTTGGCCGCAGAGACCTAAATTTTGCACACAACATTCCGCCTCACAAAAGTGAACATTTGTGCCAAGTTATTATATAAAACCCCTTTATGCATGTAGAAGTTTTGCTTCGAACAAGCATTTTTCTGTGACCTCTTAAGTGTGACCTTGACCTTTGACCTAGAGGCCTGGGCTGCGTTTCATGGAGAGTCCTAAGTCTTAAGTTTGTCTTAAGATAAAAATTGTGACAATTTTGCGTTTCAAAGAAAGTCTTAAAAAAGGTCCTAACTTATGACTCCTATACTTATGACCAAAAACAGTCCTAAGTCTAGGAGTGTTTTAAAGGTATGATGTAGACTAGATAACAATAGGTATTTCACCACAACGTATTTGTTAACAAAGGGACACCTGTCAATATTTCAGATTTAATCTAGTGTTATTCAAATAGATCTACATGTAAAAGGTCAAAGTAGGGATCTATCAATACATAAGTATACTGTCAAAGTAAATTTATAACTTTTTGTCAATAATTATTGGTTTTGTTTTTTTTATAGACTGACACTTGTATGTGATGACAATTAGCTGATAAGATTGTATACAGGAAAAACAGTCGACATAAAACACCATTTGGACATAAAAGAATGATAAGGGCATCAAATTAAGGTAATATATGGATTTCGATTTTGCTATGTACTGTAATTTCTGTTTTGTCATAATTAACTGTTAATCAAAAGTAAAATAATTACGTGAAATGTCTTTAAAGTGCACCTTTACATGTTACTGTTTTGCAAATAACATATATTTGAAGTTACAGTTTTTGAGTGTTCTACATCATCAATCGACATGTGATTTTAATTTATGATATGCTAGTGTAATCTATGGGTAATAATATTTTAATTTAATTGACCATTTTGTTTGTTATGTACACCTATTTATTTCTGTTTCTTTTTTGCAGTTTCAAGGGGAAAAAAACAAGTTGAACCTCAAAACAAGTTTTTACATGATTATTTGACACAGTGTCTTCGTAGATGAAACTAATCAGGATCCAGTGGTGGATGTTTAGTGTACCAGAAATATTCACATGGAGGAGTATATCTCCAAATTCAATACTTTAAAGTTAGTTTTGAAAGAATAAAGATAAAAAATTACTTACCTTTTTTTAAGTGAAAACACATAATTTTGACAGAAAGGAATATTTTCCCTCACTTATCCGATTTTATTACTGATGAAATCAACTGCAAAAGAAAGCTTTATTTTCCATGATTTCCATTTTCTATGAGTTATTTATAAGAAAACCTTTTTAAGCATGGTGTAAACATGAATACTTGACATATATTGTAATAGTTAATGTATACTGTAGACCTTTAAATGAAAATGATTTGTTGATTGTTGAATTTTATAATTTAGGATTACACAATGTGTATTATTGTATTGACTGAAAGAGGTCTGCTAAATGTTGAACTTCAATTTTGAAAAGACATGTAGCTCTTATTTTTTTATATACAATTTATAAATGTCAAAATCAAACTTTATTTTATTATCACTATAAATGATTAAAAGTGAGTCTTTTTTGTGATGTTATACAAATGTTTTGGCAATATATATTTACTTTATATTAAGTTTTACGTGAATAGATAAATCAGAAACTGTGTTGTTTTATTTTGTTTTATTGTTTTTATGATAATTTTCTTAAATTAATAAAATAACCTTTCGAGTACAGAAAGTTTTGTATTTTCTCTTAATTTGGGAATTATTTAATGAAAACGGGTCAGATTTATGTTGGGAATTGGTTGGAATTACGTTGGAAACTAGTTGGTATTACGTAACTAACTGGTTGGAATCATGTTGGAAACTGGTTGGATTCACGTTGGAAATAGGTTGGAAAGTAGTTGTATATACGTTGAATAGAGGTTGGATTTATGTCATTTTATGACGTTGGATTGACGTCGGATTCTGACGTCTAAAAAACTTTCATATACAACTAAATTCCAACGTCTATCCAACGTCGAACTCTAACGTCTGAGCAACGTTGAAACAACGTCATGTGTTTGCTGGGAAATGTCTATGAACTTGAACAGTGTGTGACACACCGATCAAATGTCTTGCTTCGGATTTTCAAGTTTTATCTATTTTTTCTTGCAGCCCATCACATTATCTTTGCTAATATTGTTCAGAAATAAAATGCGTATTTTTACAAAAATGTCCCCTGGATAATATTTGCAATTAAATTGTGAAATTTATCTGCCATATTTAATCTATATAAAACGTTTTAGAAACGTTCATAAAAAGAATAACTAAATAAAACATTAGAATTTTGTTACTTTTGTATGTTTTTTTTTAATTCTCCTACATACGAATAACAAGTTCCTAATTAGGCTATACTTTAATTAAGGATTAATATTTTCAAAAAAAAAAAACAACAAACAAACAAATTTAAATAAACTATAAAGAAACTCACTCATAATAAAGAGTTTGTTTATATCATGTGGCTACCAAACCTAATACGAATTAGTTTAAAAGTCAAGTTAGGGTTTTTTCTATTAACCATCGCAAATATACCGGTCCAGAAAGTTGCGGTTTGCGAAGCATTCTACGGTATTGTCCTGGCGACATTTTATAATGTTCTACAAAAAAGGATAACTCATATACGTAGGAGATAAAAAAATGCCTAACAGAAGTCTATATCTCCTACGTAGGAGTTAATATGAACTCCTAATCTATTTTTTATCTCTTACGTAGGAGTTATAAAGTCCTGCGTAGTATATTATGAACTCATAATTAGGCTTTCTGGCCTTTTGATAGAACATTATAAATTGGCACCAGGTCGCTTTCATAATAATAATATTTAATACTCTTGATAAGTACTTTGTTTAGAAAGACCTAGACAAGGGAAGGAACTGTAAAGACTTAATGAACCACAAACAAGGACTAACTTACTCCGAAATACAATACGACCTGTTTAATATGCTTTATTTCTTTTTCTTATCAGGGCCTTACCGTTTATTGCCCAACGTTTTTGAAGAAATGGGTTCCTTCCGTCTGTTCGTCCGTCACACTTTTGTATCCGGTTCATAATTTTTTCATTGTTCAAGGGATTTTGAAATTACTTGGCACAAATTTTCACAATAATGTGATGACATGTCATGCAGAACACCCGAACCTTCAAGGTCAATGTCACACTTGGAGGTCAAAGCTAAACATGGTTTGTTATAAGACATATTTTGTGTCCGGTCCATAACTTGTTTTCACCAATCAAGGGATTTTGAAACAACTTATCCCAAATGTTCACAATAATAACAACATGTCATGCACAAGACACAGGCCCCTACCTGAAAGGTCAATGTCACGCTTGGAAATCAAAGCCATGGTATGTTACAGGGTAAAATGCCAAGTCAAGCCTTAGCAAATAAAATGTCGTTGGTGAATCGCCCACATACTTTGATTGGTGAAAAAGTTACGGACCGGACACGAAATATGTCCTGAAACAGACAATACTCAATCTTTTCAAATTTTTGTGTTTCATGTTAGGCGTTGGTAGCTCTATTAGAAATTCCTGTTAGTATAAAATTAATGCTTTTAATGTCGTTTATGCGAAACTGATTGCCAGGTATGTTCAAATTTAGATTTTTTGATTGGGCTAAAAAGCAATGAATACAGTTTTCGCCAGCATGAATGCTTTGCTTTCTTTTCTCCCGACACCCCCCCCCCCCTCATGTCTAAAACATTGCTACAACTTGTGCTGATAATTTGTTAAAAACCTCAAACTTAGGGAAGTACTATTTTGAATATTGTTTCAGTTTTTTGTACAATCCGGTTTTACCACCCAAAAACGATAAAGAAGCAAAGATGAAAATGGTAAAATATATTCTACAAATTATGAAGAATTGGAGCAAAAAATAAAAAGTATCCCGTTGATAACTACTTGAGACATTAATTCTTTCTTTAAATCACAATTATTTTGTAGGATTTTTAAGGTTATAAAAGTAAATATGTGCACTATTTTACAACAGTGGATTAGCATGCCTAACTGTTACTCCATTGGTGCAGTGAGTTCGATGTCAAGTAAATGAGCGCCAATGTTTTGTTCTTGGGTGATACAATAGAGGAAAGAAGAATTCCTAAAGAACATTCAAAGCGGCAAAATTGAAAATGTGACAGGCTCGGTTTGATTGGACCTGTTCCTTGGCGGTACTGGACATTGGAAGCTACCATCAAGCCCCAAAGCATTGGCTTAAAGTTATTTCAACATTTAACATGTATAGTAACATTTTGAACATAGAAGCATCCGCAGAAGTGTTCATACTGCGGTTATGATGGAACCTCAATATCACATGTGCGACAGCAAATCATTAAAAACGCTTTGACTTGACGTTGACACGCTAATGAGCTTAATGACGCTGTAATATTAACGTGCGAACCTTGTGCAGTCGTGTGCGGACATCACACTGACATACTTCACTTGGAGTTGTCTCTGTTGAAAATGTTTAAAAATGTTGACCGCTCAATGGATAAACTAAAAAATACAATTTTTACACCGACTTATTGCTTATGCCATTCGTACATCTGCGGTCATGCTTCTTAACGATCAGCAGCCTTCATGTTCCCGAGACATGTTCATTATTTACTTTTCAACCTTATGCATCCATGGGAAACACAGAGTGTATACATTGTATCTCTCAAATGATAGCTTTGGTTAGTACATAGATTTTATTTGTTAATTTACAAATGATTGAGGAATCAATTTTTTTTTTTAAAATCTATGGACAAATTCTTACACGTTTGCTCACGCCCTACAAACACCCACTAAATCTTTTTGTCAAGATTTTGAACGGATGCATTAAAATAACAATATATTTTCTTCTTTTCCCAGCATAACAACCTTAAATTATGCCGTATGTCATAAACCTACGTATTTGTCATATCGCTCCAAGATCTTTTCTCCTGTTGTAGCTATAGACTGCCTAAATTTCCCAAATACAAAACGATTTGGTAATCCAGTTCACTAAACATGGTTAAAAAACATGGTTAGCAAATATACATAACGAGGCTTTCTTGGTATGCGAGAAAACCGTTGAAAAAGAAATATACTGTATAGATATCATACAAAATGTGTCCGTTATGTATGCTGTCAAAATCACTTTCGCACGAAATATTTGGCACATTTTTTTTGGAATCACGTACAATTTCTTGTGTTTAAACCTGTACTATGAACAGTAAGCTAATTTATGAGTATAGATCTCAATATAATGATAAAACGCTAACAAATATTAGAGTTCTGCAGTACGCATTTAAAAATGGGTTGAATTCCATATCTCATGCGTTTTACCACGGATTTATATTACATCCGTGGTTTTACTACTGTTGTAAACTATTTAAGTTCTGTGAAATATATGTTGTTGCATGCTGTTATTAACTTTGAAATCTTTAAACAGCAGTGTAATCTGTAAATAATCGGACACAATATATTTTCAGGAAGGTCAATGATGAAGAGCAAGAAATGTAATAATTTACAAGTTTTCAGCATATGCAAGGTGTTACTGGTGTCCCCAGTACATCACATTTTATAATTTAGTGCTTTTTACTATGAATTTGTTTATTTTATATAATTATGCTATATGCCTGGTACATAATGTAATTATGATAATAAACCAAATATTTGTTCTCATTTTAAGGCTTCTGAAGAAACGCAAAGTGTATAAACGAATGACGCATGCGCAGTGTCATAACTTAAAATGAGCAGGAAGAGAGATTTGTCATAATAATTTTTGTAAACATTTCTATTTTCTGCAAATTTGGTTGGATTAAGCGATGTAAAATGGGACTGGATCCACTAGAGTTTTCGGACTGTCTTACGGACAGTCCGATTTTTAGAACGAAATTGCACGAGCATGAAAAAGAATTGGAAAGAACAAGCAAATCTATCAAAACATTAATCAACGATGGAAAGGATTTGTTAAGTGCATCTAAACGTAAGCGTTTGGCATTTTATAAATATTTAGATATTGCAAATATGATATAAACTCTGCTTATATTGTTAGGCAAAACATTATATGATATTTATAGTCTTATAGAGCAGAACATGTAGAAATTGTTGAAAAGTTGAACTGCAAAAATTTCAAAAAGGGTTGACAGATCTTTCTTAGATTTTATGTTTAAACTCATTCATCTCATAATTACATTATTTTTTCACAACCTTGGATTGCAAATTAAGGATTATGATGTTGTTTGCACTGTAATTTGTATATATCTGTACTGGTCGGAGAGATAACTCCGACGCATAGATAACCCCGACACTTGATAAATATAATTGTTTTAGCTTTGTTTTTCAAAAAATATGCACATGCTCACCTAACAGTATAGGAACAGGACAGAATGTGATGATTTGTTATAATATTAATTTGGTAGACTTTTTATTGTTTTTCAAATAACCTAAACTTTTTGTAGGCAAAAACTGCTTCAAAACGTTCTTTTTACTAAATTACATTAAGGTAGTTAGAAATGTATTGACCACAGGCCACTGACTTGGGAAAGATTTTTGAAAAATTGTTTAAATATTTACAAAAAATAGATAAACCATATAAGATGTAAAAATAAATTATTGATGCTGATTTTCCAGTCTTTTTTTACTTAAAAATTTAAGTGTCGACTTTATCTACTGTTGTGGGGTAAAAAGACCATGTTTTGTATACCTCATTCAAGACCTTAAAGAAGTACCAGATTCCATTTTCATACATAGTTTTTGTGGTGTAATGTAAAGTCTTTGAACTGAACTTTGTTTAGGTGGTTCAATATTTAAAATATACTGGAAGATAATTAAAATATTGCAAAAAATATGTGATTTTGTGTCGGAGTTATCTCTCCAACCAGTAGTCTAGAGAAATAACTTATAAATAGCAGGGCTTTTTTTCACAGGTTGGGAAAGCAGCCCAGCCCTTAATTTTGGGGAAAAAATACACGGTATATTTGCAAAAGGGGAAGAAAAAACTTGATGTAAATTCAATTTTTGGGGAAAACTGCATGATTTTAAAGAATTTTTCTTTGGGGAAGCAGCCCTATACCGGCCCCTGCTATAGAAGAAAAAAAAGCCCTGAATAGTCTACACCGACGAGGGTTTAACTGGTAACTTTCAGTTTCAGGTTGGGATTCAGCTATCTCTCGATTTGAATCTCGATAATTGCTGTATGATTCATTGTAATAATTTTGATAATTCTGGCTTAGTCCAACTAATTGTGCTGCCCGACGAGATATTGTGCTATTTTCGTGTCTGGGCAATATCTCGCCTCTACAAAAGTGATATTCTGCCTATAAATATTATATATATACAAATGCTGATCCCGATATTCACACTGTTACCCAGCTTCGCTCACTCCTTACTATACGAAACAGTGTACACATCTGATTCAGGTATTATATCCGGGTCAGCATTTGTATACATGTACAACTACAAGTCGGGAAATTTAAAAAGTTAGTGCAAATAACTACTGAAAGTGCCTACCTAAAAAATAATTTATAAGTGAAAATTTAAAAAATAAGTGGGCGTGGTCATGTACATGTATACTATCCAAACCATGCACCGACTGCTTTTGTCTTAAACAACATGTTTTGGTGTTTACTTTATAAACATTTTTGAGTAGATAAGTAAGAACGGGTAACTGATGGAAGAAATTGCTTAATATGATCAGAAAGGAGATATTTTGATTACAAGTAATTGAATTGAAAAATGACATAAGAAATCAAGATTCAGAATTGAATAGTTGGCTCTGAATTCCTGTTCAGCATATTCCCGGACTACTGTATACCAAGTCGAAGACAAGTATTACTTCTTCCTCAAGTTCCTGTCCTTCAGCAGGTTAAATGTACAAATGTATTAATTTTCCATTAATGAGACATGTCAATTATTGTGCATTAGAAAGTACTGGAATTGGATAACTTGCATGCATTGTCAGATATGTTTTAGATTACAATACATGTATTTCATCAGGTATTTTTTGTCATAAATTATGTCGATTAGTGACTTACCATCAATTCGTGATATAAATAAACTTCTTGTTCAAGTGCTTGTGCAACAAGTACATCATCAGAAAACTACTTAAGATTTAGAGGACACTTATTGGACAATATTATCTAATCAAAATGCATAATCATGCAGGTGTAAATCTAACCCTACAATCAATTTGATGATCTACTTGCTTTGTTATGTTGAATGTTGATTTAAAATCCAACCTAGTAGCATAAAATATTCTGCAAAAATTTACTCAAGATTCTGAAATATATATTGATCATGTCTGACAGAAAAAAACCTAGTCTAACACCTATATCTTGTTGATGTCACTGTGAATCGGATCTCATGAATTTAATGGTAGGTGACCGTGTCCAGCTGAGTTTGAATGCAGTCATTGTTTACATGTTGAACAGTACACATGTATGCTGTTCTTTGAATGTTTGTTTTTAAGAAAAACATAATTGATATTATTATGTAATTAAAAGTTTATGAAATCAACATATTGAATTTATTTAACAAAGCATATTAAATTGTTTTGTATATTTGAAAATAATCGAAAGGTGACCCAAATTAATATAATGATCTGTATGTGACAAAAAGTGTGCAGACTTTATAAGCGTGGCCTTGACACTGATAAAAGGAACACACTGTCACCTTAGTGCAGTAATGGGTTAACTCCAATCAAGAATTGAAAAGAAAAATGTATACATACATTTGTTAATAGAAAACTATGAAAAGAAGAGAAAAGTAACTTGATTTGGAAATTTTGTATTGTATAAGTTTTCTGTAGTTTGAAGTAGTACTAACTGTACATGTAGTAAATTCTTCTTACATATACTTGAAAAAACTTGCATTGTAGCCGGACATTTCCCATAAGTGTGCAAGCATAAATTCTACTGAATGAATTACATATGTAAACCTCTACTTATAAAGTTCAAAATGTCAACTCATAATTATAGTAAGAAAATTTATTTCCTGGTAAAAGGTTGTTATCAATTGAAAATCTGGCTGCTGACTTGACCTTTTCAGATTTAAAAGTACCCTAAATTGAGGGAGTAAAATAGTTTCTAATTTTGCTTGACTGATTAGTATCAAATTTATAATCTACAGGAAAGATGAAAAAAAGTTGCTACATGTATAGGTATTTTATTGTCATTAGACTTCAGTGCTGCTGGTTGTCTTTTGTTGTTGTTTTTTCAGTCATTTTAGAATGGGTTCCAGCATGACCGCTTAATCTTTTATGTAAAAAATATATGAAGGTTGACGTCTGTGTCATAAGTTGAAAGGAGGAGAAAAAATACTGGCTCTCTAGTGTTTCTACACCCCCCCCCCCGCCCCAATATTTTACATCGGAATAAAGGCTGATTCCCCTAGCCTAAAATTATAGGGGTCATTTGAGAAAAAAGGGGGCCCACACTTAAAATGAACATCAAATTCAAATAAGGTATTGTATCTTTTAAGTTACTTGTTCACGTACCATATTTAGACCAAAAACGGTTGCAAAATTCCAAAACAACTCAACTAAAAAAATGACATTAGCATTGATACAGACTCAATTTTAAGAACTGATTGGAAAAGAAACGCGATGACATAATGTTCAAAGAAAAGTATTAATCTTATTTTAATGTTACCAGGGATATTTGATAATGTTCAGTTTTTTAATCAGCGCCCGATATATAAAGGAAAATCATATTTTGAAATTAGCTTTGTTTATGAATAATATAAACTTACAATAGTCGCTAAAAACATTTACCCTTCTCAATGTATCCAAGCGAAAAGCAAAGTGTCAACAGGTGCTAAGACACTGTATATTGACATACCGGTACCTTTGATCTTTTGTCAGGGCAGCAGTTTTTACGTCACGCTTAAGATGTCTGTGTTGATTAATGATATGCACAATGTTTTAGCGCCGACCAGCCAAAGACCAATCAAAGTTAATTTACTTAATTGTCAGACACTCCCTAGCCAATCGTGTTTGATTGCTCCATCTTTAAGACTTTTTTAATTGGATGGAGGCGTGTTCGTAATAATTTATGCACACTTCTCTATAATTAACTCGCACTTTTCACAAATATATATATATTTTTTTTCCTTTGGAAAGTTATTACATATTTATTTGTTTTGACCGTGAAAAAACTATAACTACACGCAGGTATTGGATTATCTGTGACGATTTGTTTTGCTTATAAGAACTGTGACTCAAAAGTAAGTAATAGTTACGGTACGAAGAACAAGTCTACATAGTATTTACAGACGCGGACCGAGAGAGCGTAGCGATAAAGGTTTTAAATGGGTTCCCGAGTGCGGTAAACTATCTTACCAACATGCTCTTGTTTTTCACTACAAACTTCAGTTATTAATATTATTCACAAGAAACTTCTTTTATGTACTTAATCAGGTTTAAGAAAGCATTCTAATGTCATTTAGGGCATTTTCTATGAGTGCGCCCGTTGGGCCCACAGTTGATTTTGTTTTGCGCCGGCGGCCTTTTCAGGGGGTCAATGGCGCAATGGCGCGCTCTAGATTGAACACTGCATTCTTCACCATAGAACCGCAGACTTAACAGCAGCAGACTTATACCTGAAATACAGTCTAAAGTTGTCCTTATAGATAGCCTCTATGTACCAATGGTCCTTTCATGTTCAATTGAATTGAAATTGAAAAATTTTATGAAATTTTGGGGTAAATTCAATAAAAAATTTTGGGAATTTGATTTCAGGTTTACCCCATTTTCTGATTTATCGTGTTTTACATGTATTTCCCCTTCAGAAAGCCATATAAGTTGTTCTGAAAATTGAAAAAACAAATCACTGCTCTCAACTTAATGCAAATACATGACAAACATGTATAATGATAAATAATATATGACAAGATATCTGTCACAAGTTTAAAGTGAATTAATTACTAATAACTTGATTAACCACTAATTGATTTATGTAACTTTGAATACATACATGTACATAGTTT